TATGTGTATCTTAAGGCATCAGTTCAGATATGCTGTGCAACACAACACTTCTGCAGAGATGACATTCTTATTTCTAAAAATATTCATTCATATTACCCACACTTTAAATGGGAAAAAATGTGTAAAAGAGACTAAAAATCAACACTGGAATATAAAACACCACATACATCCACCTTTCCTTAATTATAATTGACGTGCAATTATTCTGCTCAATGAAGATACAGTGATCAGGTGCACATTTTGCCTTTACAGTAAGCTGAAATGATTAAGATAGAAAAGTAATATTTAGAAGTTTACAAAATCAAATAATTTGCTTGACTGAAGGTGTTTTCAGCTAAGACACCTGCGCTTAGTTCCTCTTTAGGAAGCAGTAGATGCTTGGGTACTCTCCTTGCTGACAGTTCAACTGAACCTTTTAGAACATCCTGATTGGACTCATTAAAGCAGCTCTTCAAATCTATAACTGAGCAGGTTTATTCTAAATTGTGCCTGACAGCATTCATTCAAAATCAGCTCTTCTAATAATGTCTGATATTAATTGCTGTAACCAATCCGCTCTTCTGTTAGCTCAAAGAGTTTGGAGCTAAGTCTCTCTAAAGTCCCTTACCAGTAAAAATGAAAGAGTAGAAGCTTATTCAGGGATAAAGGCATTAGGAAAAAGATAAAAACAGCCCTTAAGGAACCAGCAAAGGGCACTGTAAAGCATCCTACAAAGTCAGATCCGTAGTTTCTACCAAAACATAGAAGTTGGAAACAAGGAGAAAACAAACAAAGACAGTATTTTAATCAGACAAGAGCCACAACGTGCTGGACTGAAAGAGATTGAGAAGTCTTTATTAGGAAAAAGATGATATAAAATTTGAGAAAAAAATCTAGGTGTGAGAGAGAGAGAGACTGATTGCATAAATATCAATAACTATGTCCAAGATAATTTGTGCTCTTATTAATCATAATTCTAATATGATAAAAAGACCATCTTTTGGAGTGAAAACAGTAATCCCTGTCACATGCTCCATTATGGAGAGGATTTATGTGGTTTCCTCTCTTAACAGGGTAAACCAAAGCTTGGAGAGAAAAATTCTACACATTTTGCCTTTCAAAGCCCTCTTGTGGCAATTAACAGACACTACAGTGCTAATTCACATTTAAGAATTAACATACATACTGAAAGAAAGAATGGTAAGGAAAATTGCAGGCAGTCAGAATGACAAACTACTCCATTTTTTAAGGATATTAAAAAACTGAAAGTTAAATAAAACTGAGGATAGGAGTTTTAATACAGAACTGAAATCAGGTCAGATTCCTTTGCTCTAATGTTGGCAAGTTTCCATCCAAATCACTTGCAACAACTATAAACATATGCTACACAGCAAATTCCCACTCCTCGCCTCAAACTATAGGTCTATATTGGAAACAAGGCTTGGACTCTATGCCTGTGTTAATAATGCTGAGCTAAATGTGTACTACTTCAATGCTTATTATGTCCTCTGGTTATTTTAAATCAAGGTCCTTCTCAAGAAAGTTATAGTTATATTGTTTTGTATTTTCCAAAAGAAAAAAAATAAACCCTATGCCTCATTCTTTTAAATTTCAAATGGACAAAAGTCCACAGATAGCAGATAAAATGCATGCAGCAATATCTTGGGTTTGCTTAACAGACAATGGCTTCATTCTCGCCACTAATTTCATTAGTATAGAAGCACTTGCATCTGCAGTATAAAAGCTGCCCTATAAACTCAAATTCTATTTGCTATTGCATCAGTCAATTTTCAAGCTAGTACCCAACACACAAACATAACACTACATATCTTTGAACTGTCTAATCTTTTTTCCTATTTACCCACATGAATAGCTTGCATATATGTACAAAATATAAAAAGACACTAGAGATGTTGCTTTACATGATATACTGACAGAGTCAGACTTTACTAATGACCAGATTACTTCATTCTTGGCCCAACATTTCCATTAGGCTGCAAGGTCCATTAGGACCTGGAGTTCTTATACACGTTTTACAATGTCTTTTTAAAACATGTAGTAGTTCCATTTGCCAACTGGCATGTTTTCAAGGGAAGCCTGGTTGGACCATAACATACACAAATGGGAAGAAACATTGAAGAGTTTATTAAAAAGAAATCTACCATGAGTATAAAGATTAATCATGTTCTAGAACATTTCAGTGAGCATCCACTAAAAAGGTCTTTACTTTTGGTGTACGCTATTTAATAGTGGAGGAATCAACAGGAGGATTGCATGTTTGTTGCAGTTTTACTTTTTGGTATAGCAAGCAAGAGCAAATCACTGCAAAGCTTTTTATGAATTTTGAAGAAACAAGAGGTAAACATCTAAGTGTGAATTTGGGCTAAAACTAGACAGGGAATAGTAATTAATCTAGTAAAATTTCACTCTCCAAATGTAAGGTCTTCATCTCTCTTTCCTCTACAACTTTCCAACACTACAGTTATCAAACTGCATAGGTTTGTAACAAAATAGAGAGAGCTTTTATGCTCCTGAGTCTGTAACTACTGTGTTGGGGGGAGACACAGATTCTGCTCATTAAAATTGAGGATATTGTTTATACTTCTCTAGATTCTGTTGCAGTCTTCATTTAAATCCTTAAATTGATCTTACTGATTCTTCACTCCACAACATGGAAAGAGCTATCTTGAAGAGAGTTCCTAATTTGATAGGAAAATTTGTCTCTTTTGTCATACCTAGCAAGAGGAGGTTCTAGTAGGCCACTGGAGGCTGGGAAGGGGTGCGGGGGGGGGGGGGGGGGGGGGACAACTCCCCATGCCGGAAGACGACTGGGGACAAGAAGAGTGGGGGGAGGGAGAGGAAAATTATCCTTAGCACGAAGCAAGCAGCAGAAGGCAAGGTGTAAAACAAATGAGACACAGAAAGGGAGGCATATTTTCATTATACATACCAAGGAAGACTGGAAAGACCTAGATTTAGGACATATAGGAGTGTGGGTTTTACAACAAAAACTTAAATCATCTCAAGCCAGACTGTAGACCTAACTCCCACACTCATTACCGTAGGTAATACGATACTATAACTTTATACCCATATTCTAACTACCAGTCCACACCAACACTAACAATTACAAAGGACTTGAAAGCTGTGCAAATAACTTGCAGAGTTATCTCATGCAGCACCACTGTCTCCACAAGACACCAAATTGTAGACCCTCTGGTGTTTCTTTTTAATCGAATTTCTAATGTTCACTTCAAAACAGACACAATCTGCAAAAGCTATGAATATAATATAGAAAAGCTGAATATATTTTGTGCTTTTTTTCCTTCAAATACTTAATGGCTTCAACATTTGTTTTTTGGAAACCAGGCCTTTAATGCACACAATGTTTTATGCCTGTAGAGAATAGTTGCACAAAGTGAAGTGAGAAGACTGGAAAGAATGAAATGTTACCTTGTGATCTGCCTGATCTAGGCCCAATTTCCTTGCATTTCAATCCTATTAAATTCCACTCCTGGCAGTTTAAAATGTCAATTAACTCAACACAAGACTTATTAGATAGGATAGACACTGTATTCTCCTGATTGCTTGACTCTTCTTAAAACATGTGTGTAACTGATTGTACAGATAACTACTGTTAAAAGCAGAGAATACTGTAACAGTTTGAAAGAATCAATGTTTTATGAACAAAATGTAAACTTGTCTTTTTAATCGAGTCATAATCTGTGCTTCCAACCCAGATGTCTTTAGTTTTACTCCATAATGTACTGAACAAACATTACTGAAATAACTCTACCAGGACCGCATCAGCAAAGACTGGAATTTTTCCATATGGAGTAAGTATTGCCATAATTTTCCATATGGCTTTGCTTACTTTCAGTTCTAAATATGAAAACATCATAAACAGAAACAGGCACTTTCACAGAACAGTTATCAAAACTCGTTAGAGCCAAAACCTGAACATTAACATAACACCACAAGGCAAACAGGTTTGGATTTAAAATAAAATTCCAATGGCTATACAAAGCAGCTGGTAAATTCAAAGTATATTATTGCATTTTCATCAAACTTTTTTTTTTTTTTTTTTAAAAAGTGTTCACACAAAATGCAATTGCCATTTTGACAGCCCTAATAGCAAAGCCTGGACAAAAGAGCAGCTGTCAGCTTTGGAAGGGTATTTCCCACTCCCAACCAAACAAGAACAGTTATTTTCCTGAATTCAAGTCAAGTAGCTGTATTTCAGAAAGGTTCTGTTTCATTCCTAATTTGGAAACAAAGGAGATTGCTTTATAATGTATTATTTGCATTATCCTAATAATCTAGAAACTGGATTGGGTTTGCTTTAAAATGTGTTATTTGCATTATCCTAATAACCTAGAAACTGGATTGGGTTTGCTCTGTGCTAATATGTACACAGATAATATATACACAGTTGTAATTTGGCAACCTAAACTGTATTATCAAGTATTAAACTTCTTATTAATAGACCTTTGCCTCCCAGGGGTATGGTGCCAGTGAAATATCTCAAGCAAGATAAAAATTCCATATTACATGTAAGTGAAAGAAGAGGTCTAGACTTCAAAGTCCCTGCTACATAGTGGTTTGTCTCTCATGAGGCAATGCACAGGCTGATGAGACAGCTACCTATAGCTCAGCACAAACGAATTTGTTTGATCTGTCTCAGTAAGGGTTCATTCCTGACAGATACTCAGTGACTAAAATGGTAAGTAAGACACCCCAACTTCACCACTATTATCAAAGCTTTTACAATGCTGTTTTTACTCTAATAGAGTATCCTCCATATTCATAGACACTCCTTCAGAGTTGTTTTACTCATACTTAAGATAGCCACAGGAGTGAGGGGGGAGAGAAATCGCTCCTTATGGAATAAAGTTTGGTTTTATTTTTATTAGCCTTTTGTAGTTACAAAATATATTGAGGAACAGAGGGGCCAGATTTCTCTGCATTCACCTGGTTGGACACTGTATCAAAGGTATTACTAGAAGAATATTTAAACTTACCAGTAGAGAAAACAAGAACTGTGTTATCCCAAAGACCGTGTCTTTTCAGAGCATCAGTAAGGTTTCCTACAGCTTCATCCATAAGAGCCACCATTCCTGAATAGTGGCGCCTCTTTTCATCTTTAATGAAGGCATATGGTTTCATGTATTCCTCAGGGACCTCAAGAGGTTCATGGACAGACTGAAAAGCAAGGTAGAGAAAGAGGGGCTGGGGAGGAAGGGACAGAACGTAAATTAGTTCAATGTAAAGCATCAAGTGCAAAAGCTACTACAGCAAAAGCAGCCACCGTTCATCAAAAGGTATAGGAACTGTGTACTCATTTCTTCCAGTCTTCTCTCTCCTAATCCCTAAGCATAAACTAGTCAAACTCTGATAAACAGTTTATCCAAAGCTGTGAAAAATATCAGGTGCATCTTTTCTTCATAATCACAGTTAAGAGAGCTTATTTCTGTGACTTTTCTCCTGCTAGACTTCTATTCTCTTTTTAAGAGACCAAGCTACATCCTAGATCACTTTATAAATTCATTTGCCATGACCTGTGTTAATAAAAATCAAATGAGGAGTAGCAGGCCAGGGTTGTGCAGCCAAAATGGATTCTGACAAGAGACAAGGCAAGTTTTGAGAGTGCTCGTTCTCACATTTAGTTTTCCTCTATCTTGCTGAAAAGCCTCAATTTACAGCGCAAGCATAGGTCTCTGCATTAATATTTCATTAACATTATTCTAAATATTCTTTAGTGTTAAAGTTATCAAATAAAGTAACAGCCGCTGACTGTACCTTCTCAGTTTTATGACTGGCTATTAGATTTACAGCTCTTTCCATGAATAAATTTGTGGAGTACATGTTTTTAAATCCAGTTGCAACTTCTTCGCCATCTCGGAAGTCCAGAGCACAGCGAGTTACATTCTTTGCTTTGATGAGCACACAATGGTCATGAGAGTAATAATCCTCGCTCCCCAGAAGATAGCCTGGAACAGGAAAAGATGACAAATAAACAGATAAACATAGCATCATATGAACAGGTACATCAGAAAAAAAATTGTCAAAGACACATGTTGAAGATTTAGTGGTTTTTAATCAAAACACTCCTCCAGCATTTGATCTATAGAGACAAGACTCAGTAGCTCAACATTCAAAACTTCTTAGGCTTTTTATTGCTAATATAAACAGTAATTTCAAAGCATACAAAACATTTTGATAGCTAAGGACTATGTCCATAACTTTATATCAAAGACATTAGCATTAAAGTAATGCACTCATAGCAAGGGCAAAGACCTGTCCAGGCACTATTATGATTTTTAGCTGGTATGATTTCGTATATTTTCCTTTTCACAAAAAAAGGCTTCTCTCTGTTAGAAAGTTTGGAGTTATTTTGTTTGCCTTTATTCAATAACATCAAAGCAAGGAGTATTTTTCATGTCAACTGTGAGGTAATTTCTGATCTGGTGCTGACACCAACTGGTGAAAGGAGACAATATTATTCAAAGATTTCCAAAAGAAACGGACTAAGCAAAAATTCTAGTAAAGATTTGTTCTTACCAAGGCCCACTCTGTTAAACCTTGAGTACCTTTGCTTTTTTTTTTTTTTAAACTAACCAGAAACAAAATTCCTCAGAACTCTTAAAATCTCAGTAATTATTAATTTTAAAAATCAGATTTCATGTTTTATCCCTCTCAAATACTCTGAAAAAACAGCTGAATCCCATAAAATTATATTCTGAAGTTCTGCAAACCCCAACTAAATCCGAGGACAAAACTCAAAAATGGAGGAACTTTACTTGAATTTTCATTCAGGCACTTCAAGTAAAGTTACTTGTGCAACAAAATATGTACAGAAAGAAAGAAGTAATATTTGAAATACACTTCTCATGCATTTTAGAAGAAAAATGACTTTTCTTTCAAACCATAAATAGTGATTTTGTGTGCAGATTACCTACATCAACATACTCAGTCACAAGTTGCTTTTTTCCCTATTTTGAATGCCCATTGGGAGACATACTGTGTCAAGTTTGCTGAAGAATCAAATGCCCCTAATTGCAAACAATACCTACTGGAATTATGTGAACATAGTAGGATATTAAAGCACTACATCCTATGAAAAATAATTCCTTCAAGTGTCATGCTGGGCACCCAATTGCCATGCCAACCTAGATCTAGCCTAGGCCCCTGTATAAAGAGCCTGTTCATTCCCTGGGTGAGATTTCATGATCAGCTTAAGCTGATCTCAGCCTATGCTGCCAAAAAAAAGCACCATTTCTTTTGAAGCGATAGGAGCATGCAGCCAAAGAGGGCAAGGATATACACCCTTCAGCAATAACTCATGTGTATTAACTTAATTCAGTCATGAACCCACAGTCCCAAACTCCCTCAAGAGTCAAAAGACAATCATATGGAACAATTCCTCCCATCTAAAATTTGAATCACCACTATCTATAAAGGAAACATAGTGTAACCAGGCTCTTCATCTAACTAGCTGAAGTTAAACAAGAGGAATGCAGGCTGCCATAAGCACAGTTTAAATTTCTCCGTATCTTAGTTTATCAGCTGTAAAACTGGGCAGCAGTACTATCGACATTTTACAAAGTTATTTCAAAGATATTGCACTGTTTTGAAATATTCCATTCAATGAAAGCTTCCTGAAAACAACCAAGTGGGGAATTAACAGCTTTATATTCAGTACCAAAAAGGAAGAGATGCATTACAGACTACCTGATTCACACAACATCTGTGATACTTGTGCAAAACTATTAGACCTCCAGGCAATACTGGGGCAGGAGCATTGAGAGGAAAAATAAACCACATGTAGTTTCAAGTTGCTTTGTAATGCACTCGCACTTGGACAATCTAATTCTGATATTTTTTAACCTGACTGCTTGACTTCATAACTTGCAGTTCCTGTAACACGCTTTTTGGATGCTGTTTTATAGAGGTTCTTACACCACCACCTTTGCCACAGGCTCTGGGAAACAGTTTAAAAGAAATGATGGTCTATTAACAAAGCATGAACACAGCATGGTATAAAGTGTATTCCTCTTTCTCCTTTGAAAAGATCAGCTTATTAGAAGTATATTATTATTTACTGAACAAGTAATGTCTACTGTCTGATCTAATGCAAAAGTTCAGTTTAAAGATGCCTCTAGAAAACATACTGATGATACACCTTGAATTTCCTAAACATCATGGAACCAAATTAGATGTGCATCTTAAAAAAAAAATACTTTCTTTGCTAAAATCAACAACTATGACATTAAATCTTGAGGCTTGGGCATGTATTTAAGGTGTTATCTTATTTTAAAAGGTTATACAGTTATACCTTGGAAACAGGCATGCTCAAGTATTGATTTAAGAATATACTAACAGTAAATCTACTTCTCTTAGAGGAATCAATCAGTTTCTCCATATTTTTAACATTACTTGTATTATATACATTAAATCTAATCATTACCAAAGTAAGTATCAAATCCTCTTCGGGTTGGAAGGCACTCTTTTCTGTACATCCCTAGATGCCACTTCCCCACCATGTGGGTAACATATCCTGCCTCTTTAAGTAGCTCTGGGAGGAGCTTCTCATCCAATGGGAGACAGCTGGGTTGGCAGGGCCAAATTATTTGGTGTTGTAAACCTGTGTGGATCTAGTAGGAAAAAGACAGAACATATATTAGTTACAATGTAATGACACATTCCAGTAGGCAACGTTATAAGCAGGTGCAAAAAGAAACAAAACTACAGAGCAAGCTAGCATTAGTTTTAGAGCCTGTTTTCACAGATGTACCACAGAGGAGGTATAGGAAGCCAAGCATGGAGGACAGGGGGAGTACATAGGAAGATAATGAAACAGTACTGCAGGTGTTAACAAGGAGATCTTTCCAGGCATAAGTTAAGTGTCATGAAAAATAAAGTCTTTCATGTTTTCATCTAGAAGTCAGACAGGTGGTAACTACCATTACAGTCTTGTTTGAAGACTAGGAGCAACATCTCAAATGGAATAAGAAATTTCAAGTGTCATTAGAGACAGGCAAAAAAAAAGCCCTGCAGCTAAAGCTGCAGAACTTTTGTCTACATCCAAGAATATTCACTAGATGAAAGGGTGATAAAGGCCAGGAAAGCAAATTTTTGCCATTACTGTTCTGAATGAACATGACATATACACATATTTATATATGTGTATATATATGTACTTACACACTTAGAGTGAGCATGAGCACTTTAAGAATAAGTGTGTGAATACTGGGGATAAAGCAAGTTTTAGATACAGCCTAGATCTGACTTCTAATAGCTCCACATAAGTTTCCAGTCTTAAAAAAGTGACTTATTTTGTATCTCTTTACAAAAGTATTACTGCTATGATACTCTACTATGATACTCTAAGTACTGCATTTTGCTTGATGCAAGAAACACTTTTATCAGCTCCTCTACCTCCACCCAAAAAACCAAAACAATCATCCTAAACCTAGGACAGGAAACAGACATATAGGTTTAAATATCTTATTTATTTACTAAATTTTTCCAGTATTCAGTCTCTTTCAAAGCACAAAATCCCCAAGATCCCCTGAACCACAAGATAGCTGATTTTGTAACTACACTAAGCACTCCAATCTAGCAAGCCACACGATTAACTTTAAAAGCATCACTTAGCGTCACTTTGAATTCACTTTTAAAGCACATGAGCTCTGATCTTAACTGAGTGGGTAAGTAGGCCCTCACAAAGCTAACAAGTTATTATTTTTCTGCCAAACTAGAGCTTGGGAAAAGAGAAAGAAAAAAAAAATCTTCCTTAAAAAAGAGAAATATTACAAAAATGTTTAACATAGTGAAAGATACAAGCTAACAAAGCATTGTAACTTCTTCCAATGTCTCTAGAAGGCAAAAAATGAGGGAGAGGAGAATAAGAGAAAATCCATAGCGTTCATAAATCAATACCTTTGCTCTTCTTGTTCATTTAGAGCAAGATGCTTACCAAAATTCCAGGAGAGGATCAGATTTAGGTTACTTTCTTAAATCTCAGAGCAAACATTAATCATAGCAGTGGTAAAACAAAACTAAACTATGGATATTTGCTCCGTAACTATTTCCTGCACAGAATACCTCCTCAATTTTATATAAAATTACTTCCATTTTCTAATATTATTTTGCTCATTTGTAACAAGGTCAACACCAAATGATTAAATTATCAAGTCAGATACACTCCAAGAATTTAAATCAAAATTGATTTACAAACATTTCCAATTTCCACTTTTAAGAGCAGTGCAGCAACCTCCAGTTAATAATTAACCATTTCTAGACAAGCAGGTTAGAGTACAAGATGTACTCTGGAAATAGTTAAAATAAAGCAAAGCATTATTTTGTTATTTACATAAAAATTTTTAAGGAGTTGAAAAAAGTCAACTATATCTTCCTATTCTTTATTATTGACTCTTGAGGTTTCTAGGAACAGAATCAAAGTTGCTATGGAAGGGTGTCATATAGAACAGCATTTCTGAGAGAGCAAGAGATAACATATCCACAGGAAGCCATTCATTTTCATTCTAAACAGTTTCCTTGACAAATCGCTATAATTAACACACACATGCAGGATTTTCTGAGAGGGGAAGTTTCTGAAATACACTTAATCCTTTGTCGGTTCCTTTTTTCTGTCCTCGCTCTGTTTTTGCCAAAGTTGTTATACAAAGGAGAGGGAGAGCAAGAGAATAAGAAAGTACAGTAACGTGATGAAGTCTGATTCTTACAGCTGTGCAATTGAAAAAAGGTGTGGGGGAGGGGAGATTGAGAGTATAGACTACAAAGCCGCTAAACACCAGACTAAGTGGCAGCCTGCCTGCACTCCATCAAGGGGCTGATGGAAGTCCACACCCAAGGTATCACATAAAGGAGGGTGTACAGGTTAGGATGTATTCAAACATTGCATTGGGAAATAGGCTGCATAAACTGAACACACGTTGCTGCTTATGTCTGAATCTTGCATGCCTATCCAACCAAGTGCCTAACAGAAGGTGACGATATCAGAGTTATTTTGCAACAGACATTGCCATGCCTTTTAACCTGAACTGAAGCGTATAGACATCTCTACTTTTCTGAGGTAAAGTGTCTCGCAACAGACCCACATTTAGTGAGCTTTTAAGCTAGCAAACAAAAAAGTGAAGTTCAGGTGGTTTATTTGTATATGAGTACATCTCATCTTCAAAAAGAGCCTTCCTCCAAGCGTATCCAAGTGAGACAAAAGAAGGCCAAGCTACATCTAGTATTAATAGCAAATAGTAGGAAAAAGTTTCATTAATTAGCTGTTAACACAGTGTGTTTTATTTAACCTTTTCAGAGCATAGGACCAGGAAGACCAGAGAAAAGCCTATGAAATAAGTGTGCGAGAAGCAAGGAGTCATCGCGACAAGCGGTTCTTTCAAACCTTCTGTAACGGAAAGCACACTGGATGCGTTCCCATGTAGCCGGCTGGCTTATACCTTTTTGCAGCTGTTTTTTTCTTGGGGGGGGGGGTGCGTCTCACTTGGGACACCCCTTGAGGTCTCCCCCACCCAAGTCACGCCGCTCCCCAACAGTGTATGGTGCAGCAAGCGCCAAGTTTCGGGACTTCCAGCTTTCTGCTGCGGGACAGGCTAAAAACAGGAGCCGCAGGTAGCTCTCCCGCGGGCGGCACAGCCCTGGGGAAGGCGCTCGCAAGCACGCAGCGATCAGGCAGGCTGCGTTTGGCTTCCAAAGCCACCGCGAGGCAGGCGCTCACCTCCCGCCGGCGGGTCCCCCAACACCTGGGCGAAGGCGAA